TTTTTTTTTTTGGAGGGGATTTGTACGAAGTACTACTCTCTGAATAATTTATGTGTACGAACTTCAAATCATTTAAAATATTTACAACTATCACTTTAATATTTATGATTGGAATATAGACAACGATGAAATTAAGCAGAAAAAGATGCAATTGTGTAGGCGGATGTTAGCGGGTAATGAGCGACTCGATGACCCTAATAAGCATTGGCATCAAAATCTTTCTTGTATCCACCCTCTGGTGTGCATGACGAGAGCCAATCGATCGCCAAACAGGCCAAGAAAAGGGTCATGCTTTAGAACATGATACTCGCCATCATAATTAATCATGAGAGTGTAGACCGATTCGCCTTCATTCTAATCATGGTGTTAGAAATTTACTCATCTAAAAAATAAGTTATCTTATTTATTTATATATTTATTGTATTTTTAAATCATATAAAAATATTATTAATATCAACTTTTTTTAAAACTAATAAATTTTTTTGCCCCTAATCATGTCATGTTTCGTTCAATTTTGCCTTGCTATGATTCTTTTTTTTTTACGCCCATTTTATGTCAATCCCTGTGTCCTTTAGGAAGTGAAGCAAGCTCTTTTGCATCTTTCTTCTCATTTGCCTTGAAATCTTCATCCATAGCAGATTTTTATTCCTTTTGTACGGCTTCTTAAGAATCCATGGGCCCATAATCGATAATGATTTAATAAAGAATAAGATTTTTTTTTATTCTCTATTACCTCGTATAGATCTTGTAAGCTCTTAAAGTGTAACAGTTTTTTTACTTGAATTCAAACTTGAAATTATTGAATTTTCTTAATTATTCACAACGGTGTTATTGGTGGGGTTGCAAGCTTCTCTTATATGTTCTCTATCTTTTGTTGATCATTTGCACCTTCAAAATTTTTTTTTTTTATCATGTGATCCCTAATCTCATTCTCGTTCTTAATGAAATATGGTATCTTGGTTGATAAATTTCTTTCCAGTATTTAAATTATATAGCTTATAATTAGGGATGTCAAAAACTGACACGATCCGAAAATCTGACTCGAACCTGACCCGAATTTTTTGGGATAGGGTCAACCCATTTTGAGAATAGGTCGGCTTCGGATCCCACTTTTTGACCCGTTTTAATATCCTGGTAGAGATCGAGTCAACCAAAAAATCTGTTTTTGACCCAAAAAACCCGGGTTCGATGGATTAGAAGCATTGCTCAAAGACGAGCGCACAATCGTGGTAGTCTTTCAAGGGCAGATCGCGCGATGCAGATAGGTCGGAACTCAGAAGTCATGACTGCTCGGCGAGCTCTCCGTTCGTTTTGTTGGAGCGGAAGTAATTATAAAAGCAAGGAGGTGAAGCTGCATACAAAAGTACTCCACAAAGCCAAATGTCTCTACAAGATAAAAATTTTTATGACTTGACTAGCAGTAGCGTTGATACGTTATCAAAAAATTATCTTGGCTGGGCACGAATCTCGATACAAAATTAAGTTGTAAACTTCCAAAATTAAAATTAATCGAACTCTGATTTCAGCAAACTTATAGTCAAATTGAGCGACTCAAGAATACAAACCCAACGATACCAAGTCCAACCCTATCCGCGCCCAAACGGGTCCAAATCAAGGGTTAGAAGCACCATTGAAAGGTTCGAACCACAATTTTGATTACCAAACGGTTTCCAAACATAACGTGCAAATTGCTAAATCGAATGGCTTGACGAGATGAATCCAACAACCCCATGATCACCGAATTCCGACATCATTAAAAAATTTAAATGCCAATCAAACGGTCCATGATCAAGGGATTCAACATTGGTCGTCCATCAAACCACTCCCCATTTACCCTTGATCTCTAACCTATTTACGTGTCATGCTGATCCAGAAATCAATAAATAGATCCCTCATTTCTCTTGAAGAGGGACCCAAGATATAAGAGAAGAAGAGAAGAGAATAAAGAGAAGGAAGAAGCTCCTCCTCGACCACCGCCTGAGTTTCGCCAGACCACCACCTGAGGTCCCCACCCTCACTGGACCACTACTGAAAGTTCGTTAGGGATCTTAACCCTTATGAACTGGCCCAAGGCTAACAAAGAGAGAGGTGAATTGGATAAGATTAAAACAAAAAATAAAACTCAAACCAAAATTATCACAGAAATCAAAGTGCGGAAGTTAAATAATGCGGAAGCAATAATAAGAAAAGAACACACTAGATTTATAGTGGTTCGGTCAAACCTTGACCTACGTCCACTCCTTGGAGGCACCCTCCAAGTATTGCACTACAAAAGTGTCTCTCCTTTAGCCCCCACAGTTAGGCGGAGAAGCCCATAAAAAATCACTTCCACCTTCCCCGGTGTGGCGAAGTCACGGGTCCTTTGACACAAAATAGATCTTCTTCTTTGGTGAACCTCCCTCGAGACAAGCCTTGAATCTAACGGTATTAAGGTGCAAGCCTGCCGGAGCATCCGTGTGGAATCCCCCTCCACACTCCCTTGAGTCCCCCCTCACAGGATCTTCTCCCTCTCTCAGACTTCACCCGTTCCTCACTCCCTTCCAAGCTTTCTCTTCAAGTTTCCCCCACAAGAACGAAGCTACAATGGCTACCAAAGACACTTACAAAAGTGCCTTGAATAAGCTTAAATAGAAGCTCTCAAAATGACCTCATTAATACAAGTTGCCGACATTATCGTCCAGGACATTAGGCACATCGTCATGTACGATCAGTTCAAATTCTGCTCATCAGCCCGAGACGATTTGGGATGATCAGAAGAAAATTTGTTACATCGTCCTGGCCGATCTCACGATCATCCCGGACAATTAGTTTAAAACCAATTTCAATCATCCTGATCTTCGCCCTGAATAGGTTATGGCTGATGTAAATCATCCATGAAATCGTCCTGGCCGATCCTATGATCGTCCCAGACGATGTGATCATATCAATCAGCCATTAATGCTTTTCAAATATACCAGATCAATTTAGGCATAATTCAGTTAGATTGTCCTGGACGATGTCTATATCGTCCTGGACGATGTCTATATCGTCTTGGATGATTTTCTAAAAGAATGAATACCTTTTCTGATCATGGCGGCTGATTCTTTCTGAATTGATCTTATCGTCCTTGCCGATTAACATATGACGGCTGCCTTAATGAGGATGCCCTAATTAGGGTTTCTCCTTTTGGACCGATCGTCCAGGCCGTTATAAATATCGTCCCGGACGATGTTACTAAAAATAGAAATCTTTAGGAAACAACAGAAAAATCTTCCAAGCTACAAAACACCAGGAGCCACACAAAATACAACGGACTCAAGAAAGGAAAAAATGTAGAAACTAACTCAGACCTAGTCTACCCAATCTTGAGCTGATTCCAAAATGCAGTCCAATCGTGTGAACCTGAAATGTCAGTACATAAGGTAGTCGTAGAGAAATAAAAATATTTTCTATCATCAAAATTATAAACCATTGATCTGCAACAACCACTTGAGGCTCTCACCTTTGTTATACCACCACTTGAAGCCCTCATTCTTGCCAGACCACCACCTGAGGCCCTCACCCTCACCGGACCACCACTTGAGGCCTTCACATTCGCTAGACAACCACCTGAGGCTCTCACCCTCACCTGACCACCACCTGGTCCTCAGCCTCACCGGACCACCACTTGAGGCCCTTACCTTCACCGGACCACCACCTGAGGTCCTCACCCTCACTAGACCACCACTGAAAGTTCGTTAGGGATGTTAATCCCTTATGAACTGGCCCAAGGCTAACAAAGAGAGAGATGAATTGGATAACATTAAAACCAAAGATAAAACTCAAAC